AAAGGCTTTTATCTTTAACAGTTTTTGAAATATTCATGTTCAAATATTGCCTCAGATTTTGATATATGAAAAGTGGGGCTTGAATGTGGGTCAACGGACCGTTTTTCAAAACAATACATATTGAAAAGTATTTGAAATATGAAACAAAATCCCAAAATTTCACAACAGTCATTACATTTGATTGATCCTTGCATTTTTATCAAACATTCTTATGCAAATTGGAAGTGGTCGAGCAGAAAACATTCAAAAACTCCCCGCTCCCTCCACCCGTAACCTTCTGTTTTTGCTTTTAGCATTGTGCTCTCTTAAAACAACTTTAAACATAAAATTACTGTCTATATAGTACTGCAGTGCATATGTATTTACACTTTCTTAAACATATGAAAGAAAGTAAAGAAGAGAAATATCACTACACAAGCACACATCCCACCCGTGCATATCCATCTTTGCATCACTGCTTTTTCTTAGTATTTACTTTTATTCGATCTTACTTTCACTGAATCTCAGTTGTGGTTTCTTTCCAATCATGCTTAAAATTTACTCAACAGTGAGTCATTTTATTACTTGTGATGCTGTGTCTGCTTCCACTTAGTCCACAAGATTTGTTCCCCCTTTTTTCTCCAATGTTAGTTTTTTCGGAATAGTGACACACACAATGCGTCACCTAGCAGGCGAAAGCATCAGACCAGTCACCTTGCATGGTAATAATACGTTTGAGTGCAGGCAGGCCGCTCAGCAGGCCACTTATTTGCTTTAACGTGACAGCTGATCCCTGTAATCAACGTTGCTGCCGTGTCAGTCACCAGACACGAGACAGGCCTGGATTTACCACTGCAGTGCCATCCTATCAGTGTTATACTTTCATATCATTGTATAGATAGTTCCAGTATTCTGATGGTTTGGGACTTTATGCTCTGGGTTTGTTATGTGGGTTATAAAGCAATGCAATCGGTGCCGACAGCCTTTATAGAACACCTAAAGAGTCTGTTTATTTGCTGCTCCTTTAATATCATGTTGTTTAAGAACACGCCCTCATTGAGTGAGTGATGCATGTGAATGTTGCCTGGACTGAAAGCACTGGTTAAAAATAACTTGTAGTACACTTTATGTACTTTATTTGAATTTCGCAAAAAAGCTCTTTGCAACTTTTAAACTCCATCCACTTGTGAAGTGTAGTGTGCTCCACAGTACTGATTAAGTACACTCATTTGTACCTTTGACTTTTAGGTCCTCATCCTAAAGGAAATGAACTGATTAAAACGGTGATGGTCGATTAGATGCCCTTGGTTTGTGCATTCATATTCCTGCAGCATGTATAATTTGCAGCAGGTAGAATCTCATTGTCTCTCACAGATACAGTGACCTTTCATACTCCGGATGAGGAGCTTCATCACAACTAGCCTGAAAGGGCAGACAGCACTGCAACAAATACAACACACTGTGGATTTACATGTAAAAAAAAAAAAAAAAAACCCTTCAAAAACCAATATTAATGGTTTCATATGAACAAGCTCATAAGTTAGTTAGTTAATTAGTTAGTATTCAGTTGCCTTTGGGCTGAGCTCTGCATATGCTACAGGTTTATATAAATCTATATAACACTGCTCTGTGAGGAAGCACGCACAAACAGACCGAGCAGCAAACGAATAGCTGATCATTAGACAAACGTGTCGACTCGTGTCCTGAACGTTATATTTAATGACAGAATACACCAATCACAAAAAAGGAAGCTGTCTGTATTTCCACTTAACTGTTGCCAGAACTAGGCTCTTGAGCGTTTCTCAGTACTGGCAGATCGCTGTTGTGTTATTGATCTCTGTGGTCGGTGCAGCAGCAGACTCAGCCGCTTAACAGAACAATCAAGTCACTGGACACACATTAGCATACAGTGAAGAGTGAGCAGCTTCTTTTGGGCTGGGTTTATTTCCTGTCAACTGCTGTTCAGTCTGTTTGCAACTGCACATGGATTGTTTTGCAGGAGCAACCACTCTGGCTCTGTTTCTTTATCTGCCACTTCTTCAGATCACACAGCGAGCCTAATCTGGCTCTTTGGAATTTGAGTGTTTGCAATTCCTAAGTTTTCATTTACATACCCCCCCCTCCCCTTTCTATTTTTTTGAATAAGAAGATTAGGATTGTGTTTTGTATTCCTCTCTGAAATGATTTGTAGCACTGCTCCCAGTGGGCATTTGATTTGAAGTGTCACTTGATGTTTAAATATTGATGCTGATCATCAACATGCAAGAAAATTGCATTTATTTAAATTCCGACTGTGTTTGGATGAAAACCTCTGGGTAAACAGAATCATAATCATTTTGATGCGAAACAGCAATTACTTTAGTGAGGTGACAGTCAGGTTTTCACTTTAGATTTGATAGTCAGTTTATTTCATCCATCCATCCATCTATCCATCCATCCATCCTCATTTGCTTATCCAATTCAGGGTCATTTATCTCTGCTGCCATAGGGCAAGAAGCGGGATACACCCTGGACAGGTTTCCAGTCTGTCACAGCACTAACACAGAGGGACTGACAACCATTCGCACTCACATTCACACCCCTGGGCAATTTAGAATCACCAGTTAACCTAACCCCACTAACTGCATGTCATTGGACTGTGGGAGGAAGCCAGAGTACCCGAAGAGAACATGCAAACTCCAGACAGAAAGGTCCCGGCCAGATGGTGGATTCAAACCCAGGACCTTGTTGCTGTGAGGCAGCAGTGCTCGCCACACCAGTGATATCTGCAATACTGTCGAAGAAAGTCAACAAATGTTGACATTTCCTTGGTGGATGCCAGAATGGATCCTCACAGCAAAAAAAAAGAAAGAAAAGAAATTCCTGGGTTTGAATCGTGGCAAGGCCTCCTGCTTTAAAAGTAAATCATTCTGCCTATTTTGGTGCAGAAAGCTCTTGGAATAGAGATGATAAGTGTCAGAGCTTCATTTCCCAGTTATGCACATAGTTTTCACCCTCAAAGAACATCTGATGTTGGCTTCACTTTACAGAAGCGGGATATCTGAACTGCTTCAGAACAGAAAAAGGCACCTCCCCTTCAGGAAAGCGCTTATCTGGTTATTACAGCGGGATGTGGGATGTGGACTGTGAGCTGGACATCTTTAGTATGAATGTGCACAACTGTGGAAAAGTAAAGCAGGGCAGAGTCATGCATACTCAGCAGAACCCTGCATTACTACAGTATCTGTGTCACTGGCCGTGGTTTGCCATGATGACACATCGTGATGATGTAGGATGGCCAAGTAATGGTGCTAGATTTTTTTTTTTTTGCCTTCCCTGTGTGGCAGCAGTGACCACCGAGAAGGCTGAGGCTCAGCGTTGCAGGTTAATGATTTCCCTTCAGTGAACTGCATGTGGAATAATCCTGTAAAAGAGAAGAATAGCAAAGCGCAACCCCCCCTCAGGTCTTCTCCTCCTCCTCTTCCTCTTTTCCCTGCCTCCCTATTCCATCCCTGGCTCAGTCTGTCTCCCCCGTGTTCTCCATCCCTCCCTGCATCCTCATTGTGTCTGTAGCATCTGCTGGTGCTCGCCGGTGTCAGAGCGGGGGTGGGGACTCTTCTGACACCGCTGTGCGTGTCTGTGTGCATTATGAAAGGCAAATACAGAGTGTGGGTGTTTGCATGACCATGCGCCTGCAAGCCTCACTGTATTGGTAATGGCTTGAGATGTGATTCTAGGGATAATGCATGCCTAGTGCCTGCTTATTAAGCCCAGAGTGTGTGCAAATGTGGACACAGAGGGAGGAAAGAAATGCAAAACAAAAAAAAGGGGTGAAAAAAAGCAGTTTGCTTCTCCTGCTTGTCTGCCACACCCGGCCTTCTTGCTTCCTCCTCCTACCTTCATTCCTTCCTTTTTTCTCTATGTCTATCTCTTTCTCTCTCTCTCTCTCTCTCTCTCTCTCTCTCAGACACACACACTCCTCCTCCTCTGCTCTTCGAGTCTATCTGCTGGTGTTTCCATGAGAACAGAGAGCGCTGGTACGGGGAAGCGAAGGGAAGGGAAGGGGGGGGTGGGCTGGCGGATCGGTGGTGTGGGGTGACGTGTCCTAAAAGCAAAGAGTGTGTGTGTGTGTGTGTGCGTGCGTGCGTGCGTGCGTGCGTGCGTGCGTTTGAACGATCATCACTGCTCTCTTTCACACGTCTATCCTGGCCAAGAGCTGCTCCCTGACTGTGCCAGAAAACATGCTTTTGGCATTGCTGTGGTAATTTGGAAACAGGGCTCCCGGGCTTATAATGCTGATCTGAGATCCAGAGTCTGTAACACTCCGAGTCTGAGAGGGATTCTGAGCAATCAGAGGAGGCAACTTCCATTTGGGAGCCACTTAACAAAAAGAAAAAGAAGAAGAAGAAAAACCTCCTTAAATGTTATAGAAAGGGGAGGGGATAAAGTAGTGAGGCTATGTGGGTGTTGAGGGCAAAAAAAGAGAGACAATGAAACGGCTGAAAGAAAGATGTATCAATAGACCAAACTGAGGGGAGGTATCCAGTCATTTATTAAGGGAGAGGCTTTTTTAGGGTGGGGCCGCAGCTTTTGCTGGAGCCAGGCTGTAAGGGAACAAGAAAGAGGAGGAGGAGGAGGTGGGTGAGAAGATGTAGAAGAGAGGAGTGCCGATCTAAAAGAGGTGGTGGTGGTGGTGGTGGTGGGGGGGTCATCACTATGAGTGAGAAGAGGACGAGGAGGCGGAAGAAGAAGAAGGAAAGGAGGAGGAGGAGGAGAGAGAGCGAGAGGGATGATGGAGCGAGGAGGGAGGCAGAAGGGAGGGGTTTAAAGGGTGGGCTCGCAGTCATTGTCAGGCAGCGAGTAAGAAAGAGTGAGAGAGTCGCACCCCGGCAGACTGACGGGAGAGCGCGTGTGTGCAAACTGGGATGAGTAAATGTACTGGGCGGCTTAGCTGTTGATACAGCCAGAGAGAGAAAAGAGAGAGAGAGAGCGAGTGAGCGAGAGAGTGTGTGTGCGCGCGAAAGCGAGCGAGAGCGAGAGAGAGAGAGAGGGAGAGGGTGAGAGAGAAGTGAAAGGGAGAAAAAAGGGAAGAAAAGAAGCAGAGAAGAAAAAGGGAGGATACTACAACTATGCTGTGCTGCATAAGAAGAACCAAACCGGTAAACTGCTCTGATTTGCTTTATCAATATTTTTCAGCTTCACCTCAGTTCTGAACTTTGTGACTGTTGGGTTTGTTTTTTAGTTTTGTCTTTTCTTTTCTTTTTTGCCAATTTTGGTGAGATTAGGAGGCACGAGGTGGGATTAGCCAAAATGTTGGTGTAATTTTCTGTGACTTGAGGCCTGACTTGTCTTTATAGAAATCTATCCACGGAGCACAGACACGCCTAGTTAATGTGATTATCCTGCATGAATGGATGCTGCCACAATGCCTCTCAGACCTCACACCGTACTTGTAGAAAGGCAGCAAGAATGTAATGTGATCCTGGGCCGACGGTATTCCCTCTTATTGATTAAGTGCTTGAAAAAAGTGAACTATTACTGAATGGCACTTGATAGATTATGTATTGTCTTCAATATCAAAGCTGAAATACTCTGATTTATCCACTAAACCCAATCTCATCCACCGGCGAGTGATGCTTTAGATAAATGACAGTTTTCTCTTAACCTACGCCTTAAACAGGGGCAGGGGAGAGGTCTAGGTATCTTCTGTATTAGTCTTATGTTAAGCAGAAGAAGTGGGTGACAGAGGAAAGTGCATCATTTCCACAGTGTGAAGGGGGGAAAAAAGGGTGGGGTACTGACTGAGTGAGCAGCTCCATCATGTCAGTGGCCTCGAGGGGGGAATACAATGGGAATAAATGAGCATAAATGGATTATCATAGCCCTCCAGCTTTTTGAGTGGTTGCTGTCAATGGAGGGTTCTATGAAGTGAGCACTCATTTAAAAGGGTGTGAAAGGGTGGTGCTGGGTACCCGTGGCCAGTCTTGTCCCGGCAGTGAATATGAAATGAAAGAAAGGTGTTGCACTGAGGTAGCATTTCAGCAGCTGTCGCGGTGGTTCTGCATGTGATCGCGGGCGATGCTCCTGCTGCTATCTCAGAACTGATTAGGGTTTTTATCAGAGCCATAACACGCTGGATTCCGATGGCACTCTGATTGCTTCTTAAATGTCAGCCCGGATGAGTCATATTAGCTCTGGCAGAGAGAGAAAAAGAGGAAAGAAAGGCTTGCCAGATGAACTCCATGCAGGTGGAGCAGGATGCAGGGAGAGAAAGAGGGAGAAACAGAAGCAGGGTGGTGCACATGGAGCTAGATGGAGGAGGGGGAAAAGGGAGAAGACGCTGATACAGAGGTGAAACAGGGATTGGGACAGGGAGTGGAGGCTGTGAGGTATGGGGCATGGGCGGGGGGGTGGAGGTAGGGAGAGGCATGAATGCAACAAAGCAGAAAGGTGAAGATGGAATGAAACTAGATGGCTGACTACAACTCGCAGATATGTGGTGGAGCGAGAACGTGGTGATGGTGGTGGTGGCTGGAGTAGGTGAGCAGGCGCGAAGATGAGAAAGGGAGCAGCACGAGGAAACATTGAAGGAAGAGAAGCCGGCACGCTGCACACTGCAGCCATGTGGGTGAGGCACTAGCTTTTTTTTTTTTCCTACGGAAGGCTGTCGCCGCCTCAAGCGTGCACCACAGGGGAGGGTAAAAAAGAAAAAAAAACGTCCTCCCAGCCTACAAGCACTTATCTTCGTGCTCCTGCATTTGAGCATAAATGAATCCGGACAGACTGCGCGGTCTTCACGGATGGATGAGCAAAAAGCATGATTTTCTGCTCTGGAGTATGGCAGCGTTGCTGTGGGGTCCCGCCATTGTGGAGTGTTAAGTGCTGTTGCAACATCTCCACTATATGGGAGTGGCTACGGGCACCTAGTTTAAGTCCCATCTGCCTCCCTCGCTTTTTATGCAGCTTTACAACAATATTCAGCTCTCACCTCAACATCTTGAACCCAGTTCCAGGTTGTGCTTATAAGCAGAACTTAAGCAGAATCAAATCCCGCCCAAATGAGCTATTCCTCTAACACTCAACTCTCCATCTCTACTTCTTATCACACGTCACCACTAACACAACCACCACCGTGCGCAACCCTTGCCCTTTCCCTCAGGCATCACCTTCTTTTCCTCTCTCCTCTACCCCGTCTCTTATCTGGTTACCTATGGATACAGTGCTCACTCATTTGCAGTGTGTGACTGGCTGCTCTCTTGCCCAGGTCACTCTTGAAAACAAGGTTTTTAGTCTCAACTGAGACTTTCCTCTGCTTTAGGCTGTAATAAAGAAAGAAAGAAAGAAACATATATATCTCCAGCCCCCGATGAGATCAGTGGCGATTGCAGAGCCTTTGTTCAGCCAGAGAGCTGATGTAAGTGAATTAAAGGCTGCTCCAGAGGACGTAATGAGGCCGGCATATGGCTGCTTATTAGTTGCTGTGGAGCATCTTTTCCCGGGCCATCGTAGAAGAAACAGTGCATCCTTTACGGCTGCTCATCAATTCACCGTCAAAGGAAGAGGAAAAAAGCATGAGAGGAGGGAGAGATGGCGAGAGACGGCGAGCGGGGGCTGTGGCAGTCACCACCTGAGCCCCCCTCTCCTCATCTGCAGGAGATAGCCGGCTAAAAGGGTGTGGTGCTCCGCTGTGCCTATGTGCGTGTATGTGTGTGTGTGAGAGAGGGAGAATGAGTGGGTAGCAGTTTGCTCATGGAGAGTGAAAGACGACAGGGAGAGAAAGAGGGAGATATTCAGCAGTTCCAGACAGCAGTTCAGTCTTTGCTGTCTGGATGGCTCCTGCAGGAAAGCAGACACGGCCACAGAAATCACGCCGAAGACAAGATAGAGGTGCCATTGCAGAGAGAAACGTGTGCCACCGGCAAGGGTGGCTGACAGTCTCTCTCCACCTGCTCGGTGGAGCTGTGGTAATATGACAACTGCTCGGTGGAGTTTTTCCATTTTATTTCAAAGAGTGCCAGTGCGCTATACAGTCTGTTTTATGACTTCTAATTTTATTACATACAAGCCTCCCATATTAAAGTGCAGCTGCACCTGTTGGCTTGGCGATAATAAAAAAAGGGGTGTCTGCAAAGCAAGCATCTCCATTATGCATGCAAATATTACCTTTAATATTTCTCTCCTCTTTCGCTTGAGGCATTCAATGCTGGGTGAAGTGGAGAGGCAAATAATCTCAGGACTTGAATGGATTGCAATAGTAATAGTAATAATATTAATAAGTAAGAAAAACCCCAACATTATCATTAGACAGCATGCACGAATGCATTAGTGTGAGTTGCGGTCCGATGGCACTAACCTCGCTGCTTCCACTGTGTCTTCCCCTCCCCCCCCGCCTCCTGAAACAAGTCCCTAATGGCACTCTAAATGAGGCAGTGGGAAGGTGGTGGATTGTTACTTGTGTCACCATTGGGGGGATGGTGCGTGTGTGAGTGTGTGGTTATGGATAAAGCCATTGACTGTGGGGTGTGGTTCTTACAACAGCCGGTGCCCACCCAAGGACAGAGGCGGGCAGGGAGAGAGGCTCAGACTGCAGCTGTAATAGACACATCCAGCCAGTCAGATAATGCACTGAGCGCATTTCACCATGTCCATTTATTATCTTTGCAGACAAATCCGACAGAGAGGGTGTGTGTGTGTGTCCTGTGGTGAATGGCACTCTTGCATTTTGATAACCCGTGAACTAGATTCTCTCGTCACAGGTCAGCTGCTTTTATAGCACAGTGTCAGTTTATCCTGGAGCAAGCCTTTTTAATGTTGCTACATCATACTACAGCTAATATAATTGCACAAAGATTGCATAATTGCTGGCTTCATAATCTTGCAAGAATTGCACTATTACGTTGCAAACATTCCACATTTTCTTGGAGATTAAAAGCAGTTTTTCAGCGGTTAAAGTAGTGTATCTATGGCAACCAGAACGACTGTGTGCAAATAGCAAGCACTGCAGGCTAATTGTAGTAAGCCATTTGACTAACTCATAATGCAAATATGTTGTCTCACTGCAAATTAATCAAGGAAGAGTTTAAACAGCCACTAAGTCTTGCCTTATTTATGAATGGAGATGTGCACCACATAGATGCCGGGTGCAAAAGCGCCTGCAGGGAGGGTACGTGACCGGGGTTCAATTACCGGTCAGAGGCTTCAAGGTGCAGGTCTTAAATGATGTGCAATGATGCTTCTGTTTGGGATTTAAATACAGTGCAGGCAAATGTCAGCTGTGCTGGGTCAAGTAATCTTTGGTTTTGCATCTCAGAAGTGAATCCATGAAGAAGAAGAAGAAAAATCACAGCACGGCATTTTTTTATTTTTATTTTTTTAAGGGTGATGCACACACAAGTATCAATAATTCAAGTGATGACGCTCCAGCTGTGGTCAAACTGTGATGGTGATGCTTCTTCCTGTCTTCGTACCACCAGATGAGATCATCTGGTGCTCCTCTGGTATTTTATCACATTTCCCCAACCTCTAACATAAATGACATCGCTCTTCTGTTCCAATAATGATGTCATACCCCTTATTCCCAAACACCCTTCATCCATCGCTTTCTCTTTCTCCGTCTGACTCACTGAACCCAGCCAGTAAGTAATTCTATTAAGAGTTAAGTGCTCGGGTCAGATTTTTGGCAATTGTAAGCACCTATGAGATCAGACACAATAAAAGCCCAATAAGTCACTGGAGACGTGCATATTATTAAGAGCAGAGGGTGTGGTGGTGGTGGTGGTGCTTTGTCTGCCTGCTCTCTGTTCTGCTGAAGTTTATTTCCACACCCACTGGCCGGTAGCTTGTTTAGCTCCAGTTCAGATTTTAAATGTGAATCACTACATTTAAGTGTGTATTTCATTTATCTGTCTTATAATTTCACACTGCACAATATTACTCTGGAAGACTGTGTATATTAACCCGAACCCGGGGGAATAAAGGCGGAGGAGCTGAATATACCAATACAGCTGCACCTTGCCCTCGCTGCTCCAATATTGCACTGACACACTGACCCTGAGGAAGACGTGTTGATTTAGGGCCTCGGGGTCTTAAATCACTCCACACAGATGTGATCCCTCACACAGGCTGTCCAAGTCAAAGCTCATATCCTACATAATGACACACTGGGAGACCATACATAGGGGGTGGATGCAGAGGCACGAAAGCTCTTTCCACCCAGATTCATTGGCCTTAAACAAGACGTTGCCAGATCTCGGTGACACAGACATTAATGTAAGCACATACATTTTACCCCTTTGCCCCCTACCGCCACACCCTGCCGCTGCTACCGTTGCTTCATCGCATCCCTGGCTTTTCCATGCTGATTACTCCACCTGATTTACGAGTTCCTATTGGCCCGCTCCCCCCGAGGGGTCAGGCGCACTGCCAATCAGGGTGACATATAGTCTTTCATAGCACCGAACAGCAGACAGGCTCTGTGATGAGTTAGCACTCTGGTTGTCAAGGTAACCTTTGATGGTTGGGAGGGGTATGGCAGTGAATGGTGAGGAGATTGTAGCAGGGAGCTCGTTCCCTAGCAGCCAGACACGGAGCTGCTATATACTGTACCCAGAGAATAAAGATTGGCTCCGATTTTGAGCACTGCTCATAATTTTGAGGATATCATTAGCAGAGACTGCAGGAAAGATTAATGGATGGCACGGAGAGCGTCTACATTTAAGTTTAATTATTCACTAAATCTATTTTCAGGGTTATTATCAGGAGGACAATATCAGCCTCATGCCTGGGTTGAATAACTGCAATAAATGCCCGGAGACACTTGTCACAACCTAAAATCACAGCGCCTTGGATTTATTATGTGGAGACAATAAATCTCCTCACTCTGGCACGTGAAATGATAAAATGCTGTAGGGTCAAGCTAAGCCTTGATACCTGGAAGGACCAAAATAAATAAATAAATAAAAAAATAAAAAATAGATTGTGTTGTTTTCTCACTTTGTTTTTCCATTTGGTATAACTGATGCTACACAGTCTGCATGCTGCTTGACGGTTTGTGTTCTTTTGCTTCATTACACTTATTCACGTTCATTTGAGGCTTTCGATTGGTTCCAACACCTGCGAGAGAATATTTTACCTTGATTTGTTTGCCTATTCATTTGGAATGTACTGATTCATTTTGTGTTGCCACTTTCAGTGCTCATCATTCATTCCTTTATTTGATTTGATTTCTTTTCATTAGATTTATATGACTCATAGCACAACCCACTATTTGATGGACAGCTTTGGATCCAGTAACCGAAGGTAATATCAAGGAAAGACTTTCAATATTACCCTGTCTCCTGTCCTACTCCTAACTCTGCTCCTCATCTCATCCCGCACTTTTATTCTAAACATGTCCTGAAATTTTAACCTTTTCCCAGCCTATGATTGTCATGTAATGGTTAGAAATATATATATATTTATTAAGCTTTCCCATTTCACGATATACACTTTTTTCTTTTCTTGACTTCTGACCTTTCAGTTTGACTATTTTTTACATACTTTAGCAAACAGAAATAAAGCATGCCTTCTCGTGATCAAGCAGCATGCCAACAAAAAGAGGGATAGACACACACAAACACAGCAACAACTGGACACTAGCAAAATAAAGACATTCAGCGCAACCTTTTCAACTCTTGCAGTAAATGTTAACCTGGTATGTTGTCTATCGCCTGCCAGGTGGAGAAGAATGAGGAGGCGGACCAGAAGATTGAACAGGATGGCACCACCAACAAACCCGAGGACAAGGCCCACAAGGCTGCCACCAAAATACAGGCCAGCTTCCGTGGACATATAACTCGGAAAAAGATGAAAGACGGAGAGGAGGAGAAAGAGGGTGACAGTCCTGCTGCTGCAGAGGAGGCAACAGAGGGAGGAGAGGAGGCAAAGAAAGCGGAGGGAGAGGAGGCACCTGCTAAGCAGGATGAAGCCGCAGGAGAAGAGGCTAAGAAGGAGGAAGAGGAGACAAACCAAGCCAAAAGCCCTGTGGCAGACAAGCCAGCTAACTCTCCGGCAGCTGCTGCCACAGCAACGTCTCCTGTAGCGGCCGCCCCGGCTGCTGCGTCTCCCACGGCCGCCGCAGCGCCCTCTGAACCCAAGAAAGAGGAGCCAAAAGCGGAGGAGAAAGCTGAGGAGAAGCCCAAAGAGGTGGAGGCCCCAGCCAAGAGTCCCACCACGGCCACAGCTGAAGAGAAGAAGGAGGAGAAGAGCGAAGAGAAAAAGGAGGAGGCCAGACAAGCCGACGTGCCTGCTGCTGTCAGTCCGACAGCTGAGAAGGAGGAGCCTAACCAAACAAAAGGTAAACAAGGTATGCAGAATAGGAGAGAGCTCCATGTGGTCAGGAAGAAAGGTTTACCAGCACATTCTCACTTATGCACATGTTCGTGAGGGCAGTGAGTTCAGGGCTAAAAATAGTTCCAGCCACTTCCACCAATCAAAAAGCAATTACTTACTGTAAATATAAAATCGAGAAGAATAGGTGAGCTTTTACACAGTCTGCTTGGCAGGCTCCACAGGACATAGCCGCTTGGTGTGTCTTTGGGATTTAGAGATATTTGGCAGTGCTCCACCATTCACTGGTTAACACAGAGACACAGCTCAATATAAGATTAGACAGCCTTGTAGCTCAGCCTCTGCAAGATGAAAACTCCATACTGATTAGACAGAGGCCGGCATAGAAAATGATAAGCACTGGTCAAGAGTGTGGTACACACTGATATTGTTATACTGGGAATGATCAAAGCTATTGATAAAAAGCAATGTGTTGTTTGCATAATGTAAAAGCAGCATGAATTATAAATCACTGAGGTTAATAAAGCTCTCAGATGCCTTCACACGAGGTGTGATATATTAACCTGACTGCTACCATAGTCATGAAAAACGGTTGTAATGGATGACCCAGTTAAACTTCTTTTTTTTTTAAAGTACATCACGTTAAACTATTTGGTAAAAAAAAAGTCTTCCAGCACTGTTATGTGTTGTCCAATTACAGCAGGAATGTGGACCTGAGAAGAAACTGGAGATTAAATGATATTATTCCACTGATACAACACTGTCACAAGATACACTTGACATGAACTCATATTTCTGGTCCAAGGACTCTCAGACTGGGTCAGACAGGTAGTTAATGGAGCATGCTCAGTCTGGAGCTGGTGGGGGCGTGAGGTGGGAAACACACACACACATGCATACACCAACTGGAGAACTACACAGAAAGTAGGTCACCTAGGCAGCACTGTCTCCCTGTTGTCATAGTTACCACCTCGATGGGATAGCTGGCCTGCATGGAGCAGTGCGGGTAGAACAGGTGCTCTGATTTAAATGAATGATTAATGATCCCTACTGGTCACGATCCGCACTGGGGAAGTCTGCCATAAACAAACACTACTTGACAAAGATCTGCTTATTAAGAATTCACTGCTGTCTACAATCTGCTTAACTTACCAAAGTGACTCAGAGACCAAAATTAATATTTATGACCAAATCGCTCAGTTAAGGTTTGTTGCACACAGAAAAGAGTCACATCCACAAGGATGATGGGTACTCTATGAGGCGGTCTCTATGTCACAAATTCTTATCGAATTCCTGCACTTATAGAGCACTTCTCTTACATTAAAAGGTGGCAACAGATTCATTAATAATGAAAAGAAATAGTAGATTAATTTGGAAAACTAAAAAGAGGAGGCAGGAAAAATAAGTTAAAAACATTAAAGAAAACACTAGAACTTAACTAGAAAAAGTAATAAGTAGTAGAAACAGATTCTCACTATAAACAAGCCATCAGTGATGTTGGACTGTCCAGATGTAGTGACTCAGAGACGATATAGAAAGATGATTTCTTTATTTGATAATGCTGACTCTGTAGCGTTTTCAGTGGGATTAATGTTTCGTTCCTCATCCAAGTGACTTCTTCAGTCTCCACTCCAGACTGAGTCAGATGTATTTTAGTTTTTGTTTTGGCACAGCGAGCAGCAGTGAGCAGGGGGATTTCAGGGTGCTACTGAGTGAAAACCCTAGAGTGACATAAGGTTTTTATATGTATCTAGTGAATTCTAACTCTTTTTTGGGAAACAGAGCATTGAAGCTGTTAAAAGCAGATTATAGACTATATTAAATAATAAACACATAAACAAGCTGCAACGTACCTTTAATGAAATATATATGCAGATGGAGACTTAGATCAGAATCAGTTGTAACACCAGATATGTGGTTCTCAAGAGCTCATTATAACGCTAAGAGTTGGGTGTCATCTGCATAGCAGTGAAATTAATACCATGCTTATGGATATTGGCACTTTTATCAGCTTTTTTCAGATATGAACATGTTTACATTCAAAATCCGATTTATCTGGACTTACCTGCTTTACATCTGAATGAACGTCCTGGTCGATTATGAGACCACAGTCTAACCAGATCAGACCTATTAATGTTTGCCCAGCACTTTTAAAATGACACAATATCTGAAAGCAGGCTGTCATATTAAGACAGGCTTGTACATCATTAGAAGTCCTCTCTCACATCTTTGTGAATGGCTTGTGTTAGTAGAGCGTGCCCTAAACTACATTAACGTGCATATAATAGCATTTTATCTCATCAACTCTGATTGTAAATCCAAAAAAGATTAAAAAAGGATGCCATTTCCAGTTCAGTAGAGATTTCAATCTCTCTTTGAGAATGAGGGGTGGCACTAGCTCTCTCTGATCTCAGATTTTAGTGACAATGATGGAGAAAAGCAACCATTCAAAAGTGTAGTTACACTTCACTTGAGTCAATGGTCACAAATGCAACAAGTCTTTTGCTGTGTGGCTGTTTTTGTAACTCTCCTGCATATGTTTCAATGAAGCTATGAGAACCATTTATGTAAAACATACCTCAGTGCGAATGACAGAATTTAAAGCTGGCGATGTTATCAGTCTGAAAAGAGCTTTTGCGCTTCATATTTTTTCTGCCATGATCTCATTAGTCTTATTTACTAAAGACTAAGAGGTCAGTGAGTAGAAATGATGAAACACTTATAAATGTTTGTTTCCCTGTTTGCAATCTTCATACACAAACCCAGCAGCAAAGCTAAACTGTCACTTCAGCCGGTAACTGGTGTATGAAAGTGAGCTCGCGCTGATGTCAGACACAAGAAATGACGGGCTTTGGCTCTGTAAATTGGGTGAAATTGGATTTGCATCGCACAGTTCAGTGGCTGTAGTGAAGGACATTCTCAAATCTGTCACAGTGGCTAACAAGCTAATTATCTCTTACCTGGAAGATCTGCCATGAGTCATGCTGTCTTGAGTCACACACACAATCGCGCATTAGTGCAGACACCGTTGCCCCACTTCTCTCTTTCCCTCCCTCCCTCGCCCTCCCACACACAAACACACGCACACACCAGGAGACATGCACCCTGGTCTCCATTGCAATGATATCATTCCTTGATGTCTCCTCCTAATAAAAGAATATGATCTCATCGGGGTGTGACATCACCCCGATGAGATCACTCGGATAACGAGTTTGGGCAGGAACAACAAAGACCCCAAAATCAGTGTAGCTCCTGCATAGTGCAAGAAGGTCTTTATTAAGTATAAATGAGAATGTCTTTGCTTTTTTGGAGCTAAAAAGCGCACCAGCTACAGGATTATTAAAGAAGGATATTATGATTTAATGTTGAAAAATATAAAGTACCTGAGCAAGAATCTCATTAGCATTTGCTTTGTGATGTATCACGGATTGCTACTCAGCAGTGTGCACCTCTTAGCAAGTTATCGTTGCCTGCTATCATAGTGCAGTGCATTCTGGGCATCACACTGTATCAGATGTGACAGGCCAAGATGCTCCTGTTAGCTTTGTGATGCCCGTTCAAATGCTTCATGGGTCCATTAGGAGCAAGCTCTTCTTTTATTATTTACACAGTCAGTGCGGGCTTCAGACATGCTCTCAGTTTAAGTGGAGCTGACACATTGTGAACAACACAGAATTCCATGTGCGAATAATTTTTTTGAGAGGGAAGATGTGAATATTTTGAGAATTTCCGAATGTTACATGGCTTTTTTTTTCATATAGAGGGTGAAATATTTAAAACATCAAAAGTTACTGCTCATGAGTGAAATCTTTGAAGCTCTGTATCTCAGGCGCCCCAGACAGAGCTTTATTACTCTACTCGCAATGTAAAACCACCTCTCCACCTCTCCTCTTCTCTTCTTTCTCCACCCTCCTTTCATCTATCCCGCCCCAAACCCCTTCTCTCTACCCTTACACCCTCTACCCCACCACTTCTTACATTAAGATGCTGCAGAGGAGTCTAAAGGAGAGGAGGCCACCCCGGCAGATGCAGAGGCGGAGGCCACCGAGTCCAAGGATGCTTAAGGCTAAAGTCTAACTTAATGAAAGCAGAATTAAAAGTATGAAGAATACCACAAAAACGAAAAATCTAAAAAGGTTGCTCTTTGCCTTCTCAATGTGAAGGCAGTCCGTTTCTATTTGTTTGTCATTTTTTGTGTGGCAATGATTTTCTCATGTTGGGGGAGTTTCCAGCGTGAAGTTTTTTGGCTCAAGCTAACACTGTACTATGCGCAAGTGATGACGATGCTGACGACGACGGTGATGATGATGTTGATGTTGCTGATGTTTATGAAAAGCGACTCTTACCGTGATGGTGATGATGTCGAGGTGGATGATTTCATTTGGTACATCTTCACTATTTGATGTAAAACCGGGGGTGGAATGAACGCTTCCAACTGGATATTTACACATTTAAAATTTCAAAAAAAGAATGCATTGCCAATGCGCCGTATTGTATTTGCATTGTAATGCACTTTCTTTCTTCAGACACATTTTGCAAATGAAATCCGTATTGCAAATGCACGCACAAAAAGACAACCAGGTTTATAAATGCAATTCATGTTTTCGACACGATCCAAGTGTACTGAGAACACAACAAAGAGGTAATGTACTGACACACTGAATGGATAATAGAATGTATGATTAAATGTGTGACATTTCCAGTTGGGGCAGCTTTATCCTGAATCCCAAAAACAATATTTACTCAACTTTCTCTATTCTGCTTGAGTCATTCAAGCTTGGTTTACACCCCTTTTACAAACTCTGTATACTCACAGTTACAGTAAATAAAGGACCTATTGCCATTTAAATGATGTGATCATATAATAAAAACTCTAGAAATCAACTATATTATTGATGTAACTGGCTCTTACATATTACAATTTGTGCTCTGCCAACCAAACGTGAGGCCATAGCATGAACCATTGAACCAGATGCATGATGGGAACTCTCCCTCTGAGAGGAACTTTTTCGCAGTCACAAAAAACTTAAGAGGTGTGGCGGCTTCTTTTTTGATGTCTTTGGTGTTGTTATGACAGTTTATATGAATTGGAAAAATACTCTTGCACTGATGTTACAAAAAAAGATTAAGAGAAAAATCAAACAAATGAGCAAACAACAACAACAAAAAAATTTCCTATGTTCCAGTGAGTGCAATGTCCAGTTTCAATCTTATCGAGGAGTTCAAACTTGTGAGAAAAAAAAATATGAAAAAAATAAAAAATGGTTTCAATGTCTGTTTTCAAAATAAAGCAAATGTGCCAATTACCATCATAAGCTGTGGAGTTTGTTTAAAGCCTGATAGAAACATATTGTCACTTTGAAACACCCGGCAGTTTCCAATAATCATGCTTATTTTCCACTGAATCCATCACGAAACCACACATGTGTGGTTTTATTATAACTCTTGCCCCATGACAGTTGGGATAGACTGCAGCGCCCGCCGCGACCCTGAAGTGGACTAGTGGAAGAAAATGAATGGATAGTATTCCTGTAAGATTAGATGCTCTTGCACCAAACGTACATTAAAACAATACTTACACAGGGAAATACAATTTAATTCAATTCTGTTATGTTTATATAGCCCCAAATCACAACAAAAGTGCTTTACATCGTAAGGTAAAGACCCTACAATAATACAGAGAAGACCCCACCAATTAGATGATCCCTTATGAGCAAGTACTCCCATATCCAAACTGGGAGCTCGTCCCACAGAGAAGAGGCCTGAAAGCTGAAGGCTCCCATTCTAAGTTTAAATACTTTGGAAACCACAAGTAAGCCAGCAGTCAGAGTGCAAAGCGCTCTAATGGGGTAATACTGTACTAGGAAGTCTTTAAGATGAGCCCTGATGAGAAGAAGAAAATATAGGAGAAATATGCTCTCTCCTTCTAGTCCCTGTCAGTACTCGTGCTGCAGCATTTTGGATTAACTGAAGGCTTTTCAGGGAAATCTTAAGACAGCCTGATAACAATGAATTACAGTCGTCCAGCCTAGAAGTAGTAAATACATTAACTGGCTTTTAGCATCACTTTCACACAGGGTGTTTCTAATTTAGATATTGTGCAAGTAGAAGAAAGCAATCCTACATGCTTGTTTCATATGCACATCGAAGGACATATATTGGTCAAAAATGTCTTCAAGATTTCTCACAGTGTTACTGGAGACCAAAGTCAGGCCATGTAGACGTAAGTGTTTGGTTAGACACCATGTTTCTAAGAAACAGAGTACAGTTACCTCAGTTTTGTCTGAATTTAGAAGCAGAAATTTAGAGATTGTCCACTTTAACTAATTAATGTTTGTTTTCTGGCTTTATGGATTACAGTGCATAGGACTGAAAACGTGTGCTATGCCATTGAATGATACTGACTAAGGGAAGCATGTATAATGTAAACAGAATTGGTAACAGCACAGAACCCTGTGGAACTAGATATTAATCTTAGTGTGTGAAGACAAGTCCCCATTTAGATATGATTTAAACTACTGCTGTGTAGTACCTTCAGCATGCTGTAATCAGTATTGAACGCTGCACTGAGGTCTAGCGGGACAAGCACAGACATGAGTCCACAATCAGAGACCATAAGAAGATCATTTGTAACCTTCACCAATGCTGCATACTCTGCCATCTTCCAAAGGAATTATAAGAGTAAGTCGCAGCCAAATGTTGCTCATGAAATGCACTTGAATAACTGATCATCAGCAAGTGTGAGCACCTCTATAAAATGAGAACTTTCGGCAGTTCAGGGATGTGTTGACAGAATGTGAAAAAGGAACGACATAATCAATGATCTTAGAGAAGTAAATGTTGCTGCCCATCAGTCTGTTATAAGTTATAAGGTAATTTCCAAACAGTTTCAATTCCATCATTCTACAGTGAGAAAGATTATTTGAGTGGAAAACATTCCAGGAAGCTGTTGATCTTCCCAGGAATACCACCAAATTCACCCCAAGGCCAGCCATTATACACATCGCTCACAGGCCTCAGTTAGCTTCTTAAATGTTAACGTTCACGACAAAAAAAAAAAAAAAGAAAAGAAAAAAAGAAGGCTCAAGTATGTTTGGAAGGGCTGCCAGGAGAAACATGGGAACGGCCCAGGTTTCCAAAGTTGCATCTGAATAAACCACAAGACTGTTTGAACAACATCCTTTGGAAAGATGGGACCAAGGCTGACACATTTGGCCATAATGCACAATTGGCTAAAATCAAACAATAAATCAGCACCAACCAACCAATCACCGTACCAACTGAATAGGAGGGATGATGATTTGCACCTGTGGCTAATCTTAAGATATACTAAGAACCAGGTGATATTTTTTAGGTACACTCACACTCCTTTACCAGATTTCTCCAAAGTCTTTACATAAGTCTTTACATATGTTTACATGCACATTTTGCACTGAGCATTACTGATTTTTTTTTAAATCTCTAGATTAAAATCTGAATGACTTAATCCTTTACAAGCAATCTGTGTATGCAAATGCTATAGGTCCCATCAGGGCTCAAGGACTCCATGGAAAAATGCAAGACCTGAATATAACATTTACATAAATGCCTTCCGCAATCTATTTGTCAAGTGCTAACAAGAAGAGCATAATCTCCTCAATTAAAATGGCTAGTTCATACCATCCTCATACTCTCTTATCTTCCTGCATTGTCACTCATCATTCCCATTTGAAATCCCTGTACTTTGAAGAGAATGCTTGCTAGCACCTTCTATTTAAAAAGGACAACAACAAAAATGAAATTAAAAAAACAAAAAACTGTACCCACTGTGCTCAGGTATGAAAACAATGGTGAACAGCTACATTTTCCCTACTGGTGTGTGAGGTTTGAATTGAAAAATGTGAACCTACATGTTTTTCTGAAATTGACATTTTATAACGTTTGCATACATTCCAAAAACATTGCACCGTGTGGCTTGTAGATCAGGAGCGGTGAGTAAGACTAGAAAAGTCTCATATAGGGCATAATTTGGTTTAGTGTGACACCTAGCGGCGAAACCTTTTATTGCAGCACTTGCTGCACATCTCTGTGGTGAAAAGAGCCTGAGCCATATTGTCATTAATGTGTGGCAATATGTGGTAGTGATAACACCACAGTCTTTGTCTTTGGCACCAGAAAAAGGTGAAAATGGACCATTCCCCTTGCTAATGAGCAGAATTTTCACACGTTTCCCGCGGACAAAAACGTCTCCCAGAGAAAACATAACAATACATATATTATTTTATTTGCATGTTACATGGTGATTAACACAACATGTGTTCCAAGCTGTCTCCAGAAAGAAAAGGTTACTTTGCTTCGACATTTCATGTCACATTCAAATACAGAACACTGAATTCAAACAACTTTATTTTGTTAACATTTCTCATATACCTTTATTACATGTCATATTTTATTTTTTAGAAACTGACTTCAATTACCTTATACCATAATAAAGTAAAATAGAAAAAAAGGGACATTGCTGTGTCCTAATCCATGATTGAATCTTAATTCCCCGCGACAAAGGGAAGGAAGTACAAACATGATAGTTACATTTGCCTTTTAAACTTTTAAATGTAGAGTTGTATAAACACAATCTTATGGATTTGCTGACTTTACAACATTCTACAGTAGAAACATAATGCTGTATATACACACAGAGGAAGAGAAAAAAAACAATCTAAACTTAATATAGAGGGTTACAAGTGTAACCATAGCTCAATGGAAAGTAGATAGTTAGCTGCTGGGCCAACTCATCATTTATCTCATGCCTCACATGTATGCCACTTTTCCAGCAGGTTAATCATATAAACAGATGAGTACACACGCACACATACACAAGCCAGTTCGGCGATGTTTTGAGGCAATGCTGAGTAGTAAACTACATAGCTGTATCTACAGTCTTGAGTAGATATCTAGGTCTGTCTGCAGGGGGTTGGTGCTGTGTCATTATAGGCTGGCTGTTGGTTTCTATGAGCAATGGAATAACACCAGATCTCCTTTTTTCTCGCTGCTTTATGGATAAGACAGAGCTCCATGGCTTTTACATCAGTGGTCCTATAAGTCAAGTGCTTATTAGCTGGTTTTAACCCGCACGGAAGCACTTAGACTTCCACATCGGTGAGCTTAGTCTCATTGGAAAACACACCTGAATGGCAGAAATTCTAGACAATGACCTGTATGCAGGCTCATGAAATTAAATGCAGAACACAATTTGGGGATATCTGACCCAGCTTTTTTGGTCTGTCAGGGTCTCCCCCGCTGAAATAAAACAAAGAGACAACACATTTATTTTGTCTCTTCTGTAAAGCTCACTGGTAGCACAGACCATGTTTATGGAAACTGATCATGAAAAACTATTTCACCACAGCTACCAGATCATTCGGCTCTAATTAAGGTAAGAAGATAACTGCTGATAAACTACAATAGCGTCCTCAAGTATGGTTAAGTTAGAGCCTAAAAATCAATCTGCAGACTGCAGTATAAAAACACCAGGACTCATTCGCACAGTTGTAAAATAAAACCAAATAAGATAAAATAATAAAAAAAGCACGCAACACAATAAAAGTGTAAAAACAAGCAGCTTCTTTCGTATTCTAAGAGATCTGATCGCAAGACATTGTTTTCGTTGTGTCTCATGGAGCTAATGGAAATATGAATTCATAAATGCTTCAGTTTTGATTAAAAACGCGGTGGGTTTTCAGTCTCTGTACGTCTCAGCTTAGACTGGAGCATTACCAACACTACACACACAGCCATGGCCTCAGAAGCATTTACAATGAGAGAACACACTGGGAACGAGTCTTTTAATGCGTGACAAGGATGACATTAATTACACGTGTGTTTTTACAGTACTATCTCGGCTTGGTTGTTTGAAAGAGCGGAGACCTGAACGCACACATCCAATCAAAGAGCTGAGCTGGGCACTGGAGTCCAAACGCTATTAGTCACCACCAGTGTCAGTGCTGTCTCTTTAACAGCTACGGCCTACGAGCTGCTCCCTTTGAAAGATTTTCTTCAAAATATCAACACGTAACATATTTATTTAACCATTTTGTTCATAAAGAAACTAACTCACTGTTCAGTCTAAGCATTGGCAAAAGAGTGATTAGAAATCTTGCTGTAGGACACGGTGAGGTAACAGCACTATTATTCTCATTATTTCTCATTTGTTTGATTTTTTTTCCCCATAAGGCCTTCAGCACAGTGGCCTTGGTGACACTGAGGGGAACTGCATTCAGTATTCATTTGGTTTCTTCTGTCATATTAAATCTCAGGTATGCGTAAGAGCATTATGAAGCTCATAATACTCCCTCTGTTTAACATCATTTAAGCTAGCACTCATCTCGTTTCAAGGACAGGTACAATAATTACTGCACAGAATTATAAAAAACAAAAAACAACATAAAAAACATTGTTGTATAATGGGTATCTTCCAGGTCCAAAGGTCTGCATTTCATTAATCCTCAACAAATCACAACCATATTCAGAATCATGTAAAATGAGCTTTTTTCATATATAAGGACAGTGGATTCATGAGGTGCACACAAAATAATACCCCCAATATCTATATAATATGATTTTTTCTGTATCATTTTCGTATGAAAACACGTGTTTTTGATTAAGAGAAAAACAAAAAAGTAAGTCATTCATTGGTGTCATACATTTTTATCCAAATTCCAGCAGTAGGGATAAAATGATCCTAAAACTCATCGACTGAATGCAAACACTGCTCGGTGCAGCCTCTGAGATAAACTGCACATCATGGTTTTCTTATCATAGAGTAATACAAAATTTTACTATGTACAATACGCATCATTATAACCTACTGTGTGTTTCTCTTCCCTGTTCTCTTTTTTGTTGTTGTTTGTAAGTGAGAGTCTAGAAAGAAAAAGAAAAACAGGTTGTTTTTTGGAATAATGGGGAAGGGTCGCAAGATATCACAGAGCTCCAGACAAACTCATTTCTTCAGGTTTGTTTCTGTTCCCATATTTCTGGGCTCCGCTTGCAATGACACTGATTGCAGAGGTATCTGCCTAACACTATATCTGTGTTTCAGCACAGTAGCATCAAATTACAGCTCTAATCTCATCGCAAAATCAGCCGTAGCAGTTTCCCTTTGAGTTTCACATGTGTTAGTTTGAAATTTACGTGTATATTTGGCAGATGCTTTACGTGTTTCTCATTAATGCACTGGTTATAAACACTCGGTTAAATCTACGCTTTAAGTTAACATAATACATCTAAGGGAGTAAGAAGAAATACACCTCATGTCTTCAGTAGTCCTAGAGACAAATGATTGTTTTCTTGGTGTCCCTGTGAGCCAGGCCACCTTCATTTTTATTCCCATGTAGACAACAAAAAAACAAACAACCCCCCCACAACCCCCCTCCCAAAGCCCGACCCAGACCCAGAAGACAAGATAAAGCAGAAACAAAAGAAGTGCATACCAATCAAAAAGAACAATGCAATTCTTTAAAAAGCACTGTTTGCTTGTTTTGTCCTTCATTTTACTCTTTTTTTTTTTGTTGTTGTTCCTAAAACATTTTACTCATAACCCATCGTTTTTTTTTCACACCTGTAAGCAGTGCTTGACAGCACGTAAGGTTTCTGTATCATGATGCAAACAGTCTGGGGAAGAGGGCGGCAAAGTTGGTAATAAGGTAGCAGTAAGGATGCCGGTGAGTTGGAGAGAAGAAGAAGAAGAAGAAGAGCGAATGGGGCGGAAGGCCAAGGTGCGAGGCTGGGGGGAGAGAAGGGGAAGGATAGAGGGCAGGGATATTAACACTTCAAGAAAAGGCAGGCGAAGGAGGCTAGCAGGAGCCACAGTGATTGAGATACACAGGCAGAGCCGTTGATATCTCTGCCTGTCCCGGGTCCTGTGTGGAGAAGCAAAGAGAGAAAGGCAGCAGGGTTAATAAGATATTGGTTTGAACAAGAAAAAGAACAATACAGTTTTATTTCCTTTTAATCCTGCACAAAAAAGGGTCATTGCATCGCTGTTCTGTTGCTAGCAGACATTCTACACAGTAAACTGGAAAATAAACATGTGTTTGTAGCCTTTTGCAGGAGTTTTTGGTGACATCTAGTGGCCATGTTGTGCCATTGACGCTGTGTTATTCAGTGATCATTCAACGCTTTAAACCACAGAGGAGGCATAAACCGGTGAGCCTGCTGATCAAGCTTAATATGACAGAAAAAAATAAATAAATGCAGTCTTGTTGCATAATACAGGAAACTGCAAGCTGCTGGTTTAACAACTGCCTGTAATACTTGTTGCCATGTTTGTAGCTCATCAAGCTAAGTTAAGTCAGCAGTAGCCAGGCTATCAGGTTAGGTATATGATCAGTGAAAATCATGTGATTTGAATGCTAAACAAACACAACTAAAGTAAGTTTTACCTGCTAGTTGCATATAATAATTGCAGAACTTGTTTGGGCCCTCCATATGTTGCATTTCTACCAAGTTCATGATATGGAAAGTAAAAATTCCTTCACATTTCCCACAAACTGGCTTTTTATGACTTTTGATCTCTGCAGCTTTCTTCCACCACTCTTCTGCACAAGATTTATGGAGCGAATAAACCGACATTTAGACAGTATTTTGAGTGTAAAAGAAACACTTATCACCTTTTCCTGTGTGTCAGTCCAGTAAAATAAATGTTAGATGTCACTAAACTCAACAAAAACACAGACCTAACTTATCCAAAGGAAATATTGTCATGGACTAATGTTGATCTGTATCCAGGCGTTCTGTGGGACTTTTGTTACTGTTTTATTATATATTACTACTTTGTTTCTATATGTTGGCACTTTCTTTCTTTCTTTGGAGTATCACGAAAAAGGAGGTTTTATTGCCACCAAAAATAAATTGATCATCTCTTTTAACTTTCAAACATGTTTCCCTTTTGTTCAAATCCCAGTCTGCAGTGTCAGTGCAGATGTCTTCCTTTGGGAGCTAGTCTCCATTTGGCTTTGCCTCCCTGCCACGATTTCATCTTTTTACAGCTTTTAAGTGCTGGCAGAGACAACGAGACACATTTGTCACAGTGAGTGGAGCCACTGCTGGCCACGGGAAATGTGGGTTTGTTGCTCTGGTATTGTTTACGGCGCTCGTGGCATATTATACATGCACCCATCATTTTGAAGTGTGTTGTTTTTGAGTGCAGTTTGATATAAAATTCAAATGTTGGGTACACGACGGCCCTCTGAGCTCAAAGCAGCACTGTGCCAGCCAGGCTTTGGGGTGTGAAAGCTCAAAGAAAGCAATTCAAACAGCATTAATTTTGTGCTCAGTGAAACAACTGTGTGGGATCTCTGACAGCTGCCAATGTGAAAAATATGATATTAACAGCGAACCATAAAAGTAATGGTGGAATCATCACCCGGCTCTGCGGCCCTGCGCAGCTTCACGATTCTTCAGGCTGAACCATTTACGAGCGCTGTTTATTCCTCGATCTTCTCAGCAACCCCCACATGTTCTCATTACCAACAAAACAACTCTGATAACCCCGCTGTATGCCATTTGATGCCCAGCTGCCGACCGTGTTTGAGCAGCTAAAGAGCCTTATATTCAGAAAAACCATGAAATCAATAGTCTGTAAAATAAATCAAAGTGGATTTAACCACTGCTCCAAATAAAAGAACTCCAAATTGACACCAGCGCTGCTCTTGTGGATCTGGATGTCTGAGAAGTTTAGGTGCCAGAGACGTGTGTGTGATTGTGTATGTCAGCTTGTTAACATGCTTTTTTATACCCTCAAGTGGCCAAAAATCAGTGATGGAACTAGAACGCTTCATGAATATTGCAAACATTTACATGCTTATGAATGCAGCTCAGTTATTAAAGACATCCGCACTGTGATCTAATTTTAGTTTTGATGCTTGTGAATTGAGACAAGCTTTGGTTACATCTAGCCCGATCCCCCTTCTTCCCTTTTAAATCTTCACCACCGAGCTGAGGGTGCCTTTGTGTGTCTGTCCCATTCTTGGGTGCTGAAGGTGGATTAGGACAATCTGGGGGGACATGCTACTGTTCTGGGAGAGTCTTCTCTCTCTGTGTCTGTGTTCGTTGGTCTTTCCTTTATGTGTGTTAGCATTCTTGAGTTTTGCCTCTTGGTTTTTCTGTAGTCTGACCTCACTCCATGTCCTAATGAACCATATGCTTCACTTAAAATACGTTTGTTCACCTTTGGAAAGGAATATTTTGCTTTTCCTGAGGTTTTTTCCCATTAATAGTTCTTTTGTGGTGTTTTTTTTGCATGTTTAAATAACGTTTCTAAGGGCAGAGACTGCATCACAGAGCACAGAAACAGACTTGGCTTCTCTTTGACTTTAGTCTGAAACTTAAAACTTTTCACCAACTGCCAAAAGCTCATTTCATTCTCCCGCTCGAGCCATCTTTCCTAAATTTCTCTAAGTGTTCAGCAAAATCGCTCTCACGCAGAGTTGAGAACACAGTCGGCCAAATGACTAGAAATGAACACACAGTGAGCTCTTTACTTCTCGCAGTCGTTCAGCAGCGAAGCTTAAAGCAGAGCACACAAACTGCAGCGAACTGCTGCTCTTCTGGTTTTCAATAGTTCAGCAGGAAATTAGGTTAATAAAATTAACACTTAACCTCCATATTCATTATCCTTTAGGTGATTTTTTGTGACAGAGGACAGGAAAAAAGAGGTGCAGTAAAGGAACACCCAGGCATCTGCAACAGCATTATAGCATATGGGCTGCCTGCTACGCCCAGTGAGCAAAACCAGCACCCCAGGTGACGTCTTGGTCATACATGGTGTAGTGATGATACTATAGTCTTATTGTTATATATGAACACACAGGGACTGCATAGAAAGGGGTGGAGGATACGTGCTCAGCCTGAGTATACAGCAGCTTAACTAAGGGACCAGCCCCATAAATGTTACAGAGAAGAAAAAGTTTGAGCTTAATCTTTAAAGCAGAGAAGGTGTCCGCCTTCCCAAATAATCTGGACACTGGTTCCACAGAGAGATACTGATAGCTGAAGGCTCTGCCTCCCATTCTACTTTAAAAAACTGGCAAATTCAAGTAAGCCTGCAGTTTGAGAGCGAAGAGCTCTACTGGGACAATGTGATACAATGAGGCCTTTAAGATATGATGGAGCCTGGTCTTTCAGGACTTTGTACGTGAGGACTTTGAATTTAATTCCTTGATTCAACGGAGAGTCAATAAAGAGAAGCCAATATAGGAGAAATATGACCTCACTTCTGTGTTTTCAAGGCTTTTCAGGGAGCTTTTAGGACAAATGGTTAACAGAGAATTCGAGTAGTCCACCCTGGAAATAACAAATGCATGGACTAGTTTTTCAGCATCACTCTGAGACAGGATGGTTCTAATTTTGACATGATCAAATCAATTTATTTATATAGCACTTTTCACAGGATAAAAACCACAAAGTGCTTCACAGTAATATAAAACAGAAATACATAAAATACATTAATAATAAAACACACAGCACAAATCGAATTAAAAGCCAATCTAAATAAATGAGTCTTAAGTTGGCAAAGATGGCAAAGATGAACTCAGTTGGCCCTCAAAATGTGTGTTAGCGGACATTTCCTGATCATGACATTAGTAATGGACACCAGGGTGGTACTAGCAGACATCTAAGTATCTGGTTAGACATGTTGCTTATGGCCAAATACAGCAACTCTAGCTTTGTCTGACTTCACAAGCATAAAATCATAGGTCACCCAGGTCTTTATGTCTGTAAGACATGCCTCTAATGTCACATTTAAATAGCACATGGAAGTAGTGAGGGTGGTGAGCAGGTCTACCAATCAGAAAGTTGGTGATTTTATTCCCATCTACTCCAGCTTGTTTTGAAGTATCCTTAGGGCAAAATACTGAATCCAGAGTTGCCCTGAGGGTGTGTGGGGGTTAGACAAGTGCTTAGCTATAGAAAAAAGTGCTCACATGAATATATGTGTGATTGGCTGAATGAAGCTTGTAGTATAAATCACTTTGATCGCTCAGTTAGAGTAGAAAAGTACTCTATAGGTACTAGTCTATTCACCATTTTATTGTGTATATACTCACTATAGAGGAAAAGGCTGGCATTCTGGACGCCCAGTCGGTTTGAGGCCACGCAGGTATAGTTCCCATAATCCTCTTCAGTGATGTTGGCAATCGTGAGACTAGTGGTAGTTCCAGAAGTTTGGATGGTGATGCTCTGGGTATTAGCCAGCCTGGAGAGGAGACGTAGACCAGACAGTTTTAAGAAACTTCAAAGTAACAAAGATTAAAATTAGGTCTTGAAACCAGAAACCTTGAAACAACATTCAAAATGTCTTTACAAAGTGATACATTATATATGTCCATATGTTTTATAATCATGTCTGCCTGCAATGTTTTGCTAATGGACTGTTACTGTACTGGAGTAAAGGTCTTCAGATAGCCAAGCCCATTAATTACATTCCAAAACAAGTTGTACCTTCTAGCCGGACGTTACTTTGCATCAGCGGGGGTCACGCTGCTGAACTCTCTGAGCGTAGGCGTTGTGGCTGCTCAGAAGAGCGAGATAAGCCTTTCTCATTTTGGAACAAATTTTTTTCATTAACAGTTTGATAGGACGCTGCATTTTACCAGCAGGTGAATGCAGCGTCCTATCGAGCAAAGAGAACAACATGCAGTTCGCACGGGGCGAGGGGAAACGCCTGTGAAGATTTAGCTTTGGATGAATACCTGCAGAACTTGCAGAACTTGCAAACGAGTGGAAAAAATAATGCGTTACTTTCTTTCTCTAAATCAACAATTCAAATGTCACTGTTCACATTATTTTAATTTTCTTTCTTTAACACCAACCAAAAGAATACTTTCAGTTGTTTTCGTCCAGATGAAATACCAACACGCTGCTAGCGACCGTCACACTTCTGACTGTCGCTGATGTCAACCTTGAACCCCACTCACAGCAAATGAATCAATACAGCTTTTGCTGACTCAGACTGTATACCTTGCTGATGAACTGCTCCTTATATCATCACGACTAAATAAAACTAATTTAACGCCACGCCGTGCATAATGGATTCGTCTTGTTCTGGGCTGATTGAGCGCTTTCATATCATGAATGAGGTGAGGCTCATTCAAGGCGCCTCAACTTAATCCTACTTAAGTCGGGGTAATGTGGTAATCGGAATTTGAGCAGAGGAGCGAGAAGTTTGTGCTGACACATACGAGGCTGATAGGAAGTATTAACATAAAAAGGAAACGGCACATCATGGCACAGCATAATTTGGTTTGCCGGGGTGCTGCGGTGGCGGTAGGGAGTGTTGAGGTCCTTGGGAGTGCTGGGAACAGTGTGTGTGTGCGTTTGAAAGTAAGAGAAGACGGGGCAAGTGCACCGGCACAGTCTCCCCCTCCCTCTCTGATGATAAGGCCAGCAGCAGAAGATATATTCTCCAGTGTGTCTTCATGAGAAGTGACTGCACTATTAAAAAGGCCTGCCTGCCTACGGAGCATGCTGAGCGATCTAGATAATGCACAGCACTACAGGGAGCTGAAAACAAACACCTATGTTTGTTTTTTTTACAGTAGATTGCAGCTCATGATTTGTGATGCTCTGGCAAGAGTCTGAATGGACGCAGACAGAAAAGATAGAAGTCTCTTTTGTTTTCACAGTTTGCTACAAAGGCTGTTAGTTCACTTAACCAGCTGCAGAAAACTACGATGTTATAATAAAAAAAAATTAAAATGGATCTGTGTCCTCCCAGAGTTCACCTTCTCCATATTTGCATTTATGGAGCTCAACATTTTAACTTTTAACGCGTTGGCACACGCAGCTTCACGACTTCCATCACTTCTGATTTCAAGTTCATCCTCAAATATGCCTGTGTGTCTGCCAGGTTCTTCATCTGGCATAATACACTGGAATATATTATCTGAAATTTGGCAGGAGTTGTGGATGTCAACCTTTTTTTCACCCCCCCCCCTTTATTTTTGGAGGGACGCTTTTATGTTTGATGATTTTCCTCACAGGCAGAGGGCAGCAGAGCTCTACTGGATATCTTCCAACCATTGTTTCCTAATGCAAGGAAGCTACAATAAAACCCTGAACTGAAATGATTTGACCCCGTTTATTTGGCAGAGGGCATGTGGTGCGCTCACGAGGGCTGCAGTCTCGGACCGGGACAGATGAAAGACCAAAGCAAATCATCGGACGACAGATTAGATTCCGCAGCCTGTGGGAGCATCTAAAGTAGGTCATCAGCGCCAAGGAGAGTGACAGGTCTGTCATGATTCAGGGCCAGTGATAAATGAAATCAAGAGGAGAGTCCTGCTGAGACTTGTAACCCAGAGATGATTGAAAATGCTCTGGTCGTTGTGACAGCCACGCGTCAGCTGACAAAACAACAAACATATCCGTCTGTCACACTAGCTGACAACTCAGTTTGGATTTTCTCATGTCAGGAGCACGGATGGAGCGAATCACTGTTCAAAGAGCAGGAGAAGCATCCTACTTTAGATGCTTTTGGAGATAGGCAGATGCTGATTCTAAGTTTTGTAGTGTACTGATTTACAACTTACAAATGTGGAAGCAGTGGGAGAATGCAAAAAGTGCAGGAAGGGTCATGACATCCAGGTAGCATTATCACTGCTCTAAACTCATGATGTATCTGTCTCTGCTGAGGCTAATTGGGTCTTCAAGCACTGTGAAGATTCTCAGAGACCAGCAAAGTCAGAGGCGTTGTGAAGTAACGCTCATTTCTGTTTCATAGCATGAATTTCAATTCATCACCTGAGGAGATTTCAGCGAGACTGACAGAAGATGGATGTTTGCAGTTTTAGTGGAGTTAAGCTTCTCTGCTCAGAGTTCAGCACCTCGTTGTGTGTTCACCAGCTCGTGCCAAACAGTTTGTTCAAACTCTGGATTGTTTGTTTCCTCAGTTTGCTCGGTGCAGGTGAGAGCAAAGCTTTTGGAACCAAAAATTGGTGCCTCAGTCCCGTTCCAGGCAAGCTGCTGTGTTTTTTTTTTTTGTTTTTTTGGAGGGGATAAAACAAACCCGGGAGAGGAAGTGATTACAAAAACTGCTGAAGTCCTTCTAAGCTGACTTTGACGAGGAGGCAAAGTTTCTTTGCAATGTGTGGGGCCGCCACTCTGTAATGCCACTGAAAGAGTTGTTTTACAACACCTTTTACTGCAGATCAGTGAGTCCCAATAAAAAAGAAAGAAACAGTATAAAAATATTAAAGGAGTTAAGTTATCAAATACAATGAGATTTAACCAGAATAATCCTAGATCTGAGAGGTTTCGCTAATTAGAATAGCGACCAAAGCTAATGAGAAAACTTCAGTGGAACTTTTAAATATACTTCTAAAAAATGTAGAAATGAGAAGAAAAGAGTTCTTTCCTTTCAATTATAACACACTTCCCTGCCGAACTTAGCTGTCTGATTTTGAGCTTATCTGATCAAAGGAGTATAGGAGAGTTGTTAATTTGTCAGTTGTTATTAGTGATATCACCTATAAAGATTTCATCAAGTTGAGATGAAAGGGAATGAATGATGACCATTAGAGATTTTTATAGCTTTCCAATCAAAAAGGGCACAGTGTTTATCAGCATAAACCTGAGCTGCAGTTGTTAGCACACCAGCTAAATAGCAAAGAAGTGTTCCTTCTAAAGATCAGGCACACTGCTCATTAGCTACAGCAGCTTCCTTTGTTTTAAACAGTGAAGAACTTGAGAACATTAGCAAAGGTATGGTTTCATTAGCCAAAAAAGTTTTATTATCAAAGCCTTTTCTGATGTTGCTAAAATTTAATGTATAACATTTGAATATGTTTAAAAATATGAATACTAAGAGCAATATCCTGAACTGTTTTATTATTAATATTAGAGCTAATGTTTATCCTTAATTCAATGTAGCACAGACTTGAAGAACCTTGTTTATCTTTTACAGGTATTTAGCTGTCGAGGCCGGGGCACTCGACTAGAACATTTGTCTTTTAATAGACCGTGCTTTTGCCCAATATTACATGTTTTAGGCCTCTTCTCATTTCAGTGTAATTCATACAGAAACATTATGTATCACACTAAAATAGCAGAAGATGCTTTCAACCAACATAGCAAGTTGGAGCCACAGATTTTATATAAGCAGATTAAAGAAGAAGAAGAAGAATAAACCCCTGCTGACAATTAGGAAGTACACACTTTTCCAAAACGGGTGGTATGATAATCTTTTACTTGAAGTCTGCGGACATAAAAAGTAGGCAACTGGAAATGAGGATCTACCCTAAATCTTACACCTTTAACCACATATATGCCATATGAGAATCTAAGACTGGGCAACAGCCCATTACATAAAATTGAATTTAAATGCAGATATTATCTGATAATCTGTGTGTGTACGAGGTTAAACTAATTAAGGAGGAAACAAGCGCAGGAGCAAGACCTCCTGTAAAGAATCAGGTAAATAAGACACAACCAGGCAGTAAAATTAAAAAGCCAAGCAAAGATAAATGATATTATTATTGTGCATTAACATCACCATCGTCCAAGGAGAAAGAGCAATAACATTTTCCACTGGCGTAGAGGAAGAAGGGTGCCTTGAATAGGCGCACGGCCAAAATCCTCTGCGGGACAAAACAACTGAGATGGATGAGAGTTGGAAACAACAGATAATGCAAAAATATTTCAGCTACTACCATTAATCTTTCTTTTCAAGCACTGTCATGATAGGACTATTGCTTTAGAGAGTATATCTGTGATAACACTCTTCCAATATTTTTCCTACAGTCTTCGGTGAACTTTTACTGCAGCATGTATTTTTCGTCTTTATTTCTTTTTTCTTATCATTAGCTTGTTCCCGTCGAGCCCTCTGCATTCCCACACTGACTCAGCCGTTGAGTCTGCAGCTGAGGAGGAAATTTCTCAGGTTATTAAATGACAAGTGTTGAAACTGAGGCACTGGCTTGTCATTCCCTTTGAATGTCATTACATTTCCTTCCTCTTCAAGTGTTTTTCAGGCACACGCATGACACTTAAAAGAGATAGCTTTCCAATAAACATCTGTGTCTGGTCACACAATTGGCAATTTCACAGGAGACAGTACAGTGCAGGGATCCAGATTTCCATTTCAGTGGAATTACTTTCAGTAAAAAAAGAAAAGGAAAAGAGTTTCTGAGATTTTCAGCAGCTACACCATATAAAGTAGCAGCAAGGCCGATCTGGTGTCGTTTTTCTCTTCTCAAAAGAATGTCACAGAAACCACTGCTGCGATGTTCAATTAACAACAGAATAGCAGCAGAGTGAACGATAAAGTGGGTGATTACTCACCAATGAACTACACGGACGATGTTATCAAAGCCAGACAAGGGTGTGACAATGGGGACCACTGTAAGAGCACATTTGACAAAGGAATCAAAGCAATCCATTATAACCACTGGGTCATAATACAGAGCATGCCTAGCACTGAAAATATGAAAAAAACACTTAGAGGCTGAGAAGGGATCAACTCAGGACAAACCATGCAGAACGATACTGATGGAAGCCGTTTTTAATGCACAACAACAAGCAGGACCTTGCTGTTGCCCTGTTATTTAAAGACAGCTCATACAGTGAGTTAATTCATTACTCGCACTTAATTCTTATAAAATCTATTTAGCCTCTATGATTACTTTAGGTGCAAAGCCAACAACCTAAATCAAGTTTTCTGACTGCCTTGGGCCAAGAGAGGTCAAGTCCATTCAGAGTCATTTCCGCACGCTTTCATCAGTTGCCTGTGACCAGCAGCACTTTAGCTGTAACTAATTAATAATGATCAGACATAAAAAGGTTCCAGGACAGGATTGTAATTCACGTCGAGTATGAGCGTTTCAAACATCGTGAAGGCTTTTTTCCAGGACTGTGCAGTTTCCAGTCATTTTAAATGAGAGAAGGTTTTCCGTCTTGAAACACTACAGGAGTTCATTACCATCAGTCAGTGAGTTGCCATGGTTGTTTGTGGTAAGGGAGGCTGATGGCTTGCCCTCTATGTAATGGGTTGTTGGTACACAGCTTGATTGTATGCGCCTGATGTTGTTGTTTCAACTGTATTAATATTTTAGTTCACTCTTAGCCCTTGATTGGTCTTTGTGGAGGCAAAGAAAACACACAGGCTGAGATTACAACCTGAACTTGAGCCACTATGTGAACTCTACTTTAGACTGCCAGCATTTTTCACTGAAATTTGATCTTGACAGCTGAATGTTGTGTTATCTCTCCTTCAAGTCATTGTTTATGCAGTTCTAGTAGTGTGTAGTGTGGTTTGCAGTGTAAAAAAAACAAAAAAAACAAGCGGGTAATGCTTTTACCTTTTATCGTCTCTGTACCATTCGAACTCTGGTGTGGGGACTGCGGTTACTTCACACCGCAGTGTCCCGTTGCGGCCCACAGGAGTCTCGGAGCTCTGGGTTTTCTTTATTGTTGGAGGATCTGCAGAGTCACGCAATGCTGACATAAGTCACACGTTAATGTGTGGGGATAGGTATCTTTGAAATAGTCAGACTAATATAGTGACAAGCATGTCTGAACAGCATTACTAATATACAGTTGTGGTCAGAAGTTTACATACACTCATCATGGGTATAAATGTCGGGGTAATTTGAGTCGTTTAATGACTTCTTTCAACTGTTCTTTTCCAGAGTGGAATGTTTATACAGCACATGTCCTTAATGATTGTAATGACTTAAAGCTCCAACCTCATCTCCACTGAAAATTTGTGGACTGGGCTTAAAAGTAGAGTCTGTGCCAGGAAACCAACCAATTTAAATGAACTCTACCGATTCTGTCAAGAGAAATAACAACCAGAATGCCAGAACCTTGGTAGCATCTGGTTGAGGTGCAATTTGCTTAGGAACATTAAACCAGATATTAGTGGAGGTAAATTCAAAGTAAATCCAAAGTACATTCAAACTTGTGCTCCCAGTTTTTGTAATTAAAAAGTCAAGTCATGAAAAAGAACAGTTCAAAGACATCGTTAAATCCCCAAATGACCTTGACGGTCAAGTCCACAATGACTGTACATAAACTTCTGAGCAGAACTGTGAGTGCGGTGCAAAGGAAATTTGAATTTAATCACAAACACTTGTGAGTTGACTTGATGCATGCTCAATCATCCAGGCAAGTAAAAAGGTTGAATCTGTTCACCTGGACGTTTGCAGCGTTTCCCCAACCTTATAAACAATTTCCCTGCCGGTGACTGATGCCCTCAGGGGTCGGTGCATTGGTGGTTCTTGGTGTCCGGGGCTGGGCGCTCAGGTATGTACCAGCTCACTCCCGGTGGCTACTTGGCGGGGCCTGGCGCCTGTTGCTCGGTCAGGCCTCCTCCGGGGTGCGGGGGGCCCTTGGGCCTCCGGCCTCTGGGCCTGCGGCTCGGTTCACTCTGGCACAGCTGGCTGCCGGCAGTGCTGGCCCCCTCTAGCTTCTGCTCGGTGGCTACTGGGTGACGCCTCGTCTGGGGATCCTCAGCCCTTCCCATGAAGGTGGCACGGATGCCCCTCCGGTGGTCCTCCTTGGGCTCTCGCACTCTGGGGCCTCTGGATGTCTGGGGCCTGGATCTCCTCCATGCCTGCTTCATGCCCTGGGGGACGGGGCTATGGCTCTCTACATCCTCTTGCAGACCATTACATGTGGAAACCATTTGAATACAAGCGCGCTGATCCACACAGGTGTGCACACGCGTGTTCACTGTTCGTAGACTTAAATTACACCTTTCTTGGCTGCTACTTCAACGCACATTGTGCGCTGTCTGTCCTGCGTGCTGCACAACAACATTGAATATTTAGTATTTACTGCTGTTTACACTTAGCTAGATTAATGCGATGGTGTTGTGTTTAGTATGTTGCTTTGGTTTTTTTTGCTTGTTTTCTATTCTTCTTCTCTCAACAGGTGATCCAGGAGATTTTATTTTATTTTATTTTATTTTTTTCCCTTTCTCACTGTCCCTCTTCCCTTCTGTTTTTCTTTTCCTTCCTCTTTCTTTCTCCTTTTCCTATCCCTCACTCATGTCTGTCCCGTCTGTAACATCTGAAAATAAAATAAATAATAAAAACAAAGGTCGATCAAATGGACCAATACGGCAATGCCACGATGATCCATTTGGCAAAATAAATCCATTGGGTATCCTTGTTGGTCTTCAGACAACAATTCTGATGGCTAAAGAACCAAATGGGACAGGCAAAAAATAAAAAAATAAAAAAATAAACAATTTCTGATCAATGGTCATGATAATTTGCATAATAATCAGTGATGAAGGTACTGATCTTATAGCCCGTTGTTCATTTAGTGCTCTAGGTTCAGTTATTGTGCAAATGTACTGTTTATAAGGTTGGGGAAACCTGCAGTCAGCTGAGACTGAAGAAGTCACTTGAATGAGTGACAAAACATTTCTCCCACTGAAAACGCTGCAAACGTCCAGGTGAACAGAATCAACTTTTTGCGACTTGTGAGTTGAGTGTTTGCCACATTTTGTAGATTCAGTGTAAGATTTTGCTCCAGTTTTAGCTCTCACAGCTCAAAAAACGATGTCAAACAGATTATCCAGGTCTCGATTAATCAGTGAACTTAATCGACTGAGTTCACATTTATCAAGTATATTAGCATTCATCATCCACACATAATCATTTTCCACACCAATGGCCAAAAATGTGTCCCAAGTGGATTAATGCCCATTTTCCAGTCAGGATAGGAAATGGTTTAATAAAATAATCTTTATCATTTAATTCAGGCACTCAGTGTTGGCTAAAGTGCGGTTTGGGCAAACAGCCATCCATGATTTATTCAGATCAAAGAGAATTCTGTAACTTCTCTTCGGGGGAGGTGTTGGTTTGCGATGGCTCATGAGCTCTTCATCAATCCTGAACAGCCGACGAGTGTATTAACACTTGTCAGGATATAAACCGTGGAAAGGACGTGATTACGTGGTCTTGTTTAGAAGTTTGAAGTATCCTTTAAATGATGATGTGTTATGTGAGAATTACCATGGCAATGACTTCTGCAATCAATGTTACTGAGCTTCTCTTTCTACCTGGACTCATCTTGAGAAGATTGAAGGGTGCTCCAAAACTTTCAACATACGTCCTTCACTCCATGTCATACTGTTACACTCTATATGCTTCTACCCATATGCCTATCCTCCAATCTTGACTTTTATAGGCTTTTATCCACCGAGTGTATCATCATATTAAATGCTTGACATTAAATGTGTCAAGGATATTGATCAGTGTTCAGTTTGGAATAAAGCACGCACTGCGCTCTGTATTTACTTACAGTTGACAATCACATTGACGTATTTGACATCGGGAGTGGCGACGTCGTTGCTGGCCTTACATTCATAGCGGCCTGCTTGGGTTCGCATGATGCCTATAATGTCCAGGTACTCTTCTCCGTCCAACGGCTCGGCTGCAGTGAGACAGAAAGACAAAAGAGGTGGAGGTATGAGTGAAGGAGGTACCAGGGAGAGGAACAAAGAGAGCAGGCAGAGCGGGAGGGTACACAAATTAAAGTGACAGAGAAACTGACTAAATGATGGATTTCTGCTGTATGATCAGTGGTAAAACAATGACTAATGAAGTGCCGTTCAATTTTAAAAGGAACAGCTCAACATATTGTGGAAATTGATACTGCTGTTATTTTCGAAGCCAAAAGCCTAGCTTAGCAAAAAAGATGAAAACAGCAGAAAACAGCAAGTCTTAAGCTCAATAATTAACATGCCCTATTTTATTTGCGTTAAACCCGAGGTGTTCTCATCCGAATGCATCAAATACGGCTGTTCTGTCAGATGCACAAGGTTTTCCTTGGCATTAGTGATGCCACAGAGTTTCCAAGTGTCAACTGAGGTGAGAAGTATCATGGAGAAATTCAAAGAAAGCCACGCAGAAGTAGGAAGCCAAAAATTTCAAAGACTGGAAGTGGGAATCTCATCAAAGTGGAAGGAATCATGAAGGAAGAAATATGTGAACATGTCAAGCAATCAGCAGCAAAACTGAGTCTGGGTGGTCACTTTGTCTTCCAACATGACTATGACCCAAAATATACGTCGCTGCCAGTGAAGAACTAAGTTTAGCTAACAATGGGACTCGTCTCCACAACATGCTCCTTACAAAATGGCAGTATTTGTTTCCCTGGGTACGAGAAGGGCCTCTTGAAAGTTGTGTTGCTGCTTTTTCTTTGATGAGCTCAGTGTGGGAAGTCTGCTTTCAGCCAAGAAACAGCCAGCTCAGATAGCCAAAAAGCTGCATGGAGCCACATGGCATTACATACAGTCACTTTACTGAATGTGTGACGCTCCTGTGTGCAGTTTATTTAAGCCTTTTTTAATATACGCTCAGACTATATGATTTTTTCCCCCATAGTTTACATAACAACCAACAAAACAGAATTCACCAGTGTTTTCATGATATACGATTTAATAAGATTACTGCCATTATTTTGCCGCCCACTCCACCACGCTTTGCATGGCCACGTTTAGAATGAAAGGCAAAATGGCCAATCTGACTCAGATATTAAATATACTAGAAGCTTTGGGGCTCAAATATTATGCAATGTATGTATTTCTTTCCAACTTTGTCTTATTTCACATTTCAAGGTGATATGACATATATCTTCAAAGGTGACAGCCTGCTTATGTGAAGTGTTGTCCTTGTTCATAGCTGCACTAATTAGCCACACTTGGGAAACGGAGAGCACTTTGAGGTAGTCTCTGCCCTTAGGCATTACTGATGTAGAACTAGGCAGTGAACACACACACACACACCCGCTGCAACTCGAGAAAGAGAGACAAAGCCTTCTCATTTCCACACACCTGGTCAGTCACAAAGGGGTGCCTGTGGGATTTTTGGATTTGCAGGAATTGTCATGTACGGCGTCCCAATTGGACCAGTAAACAGGTATTTGTAGCCACACATCACACATGCACTGCACTCACACCATAAATTTGTTTGAGGCTCACTCAAGAAAAAGGCCTAAATAAATAAGGGACAATTTTAAATTATAGGATGCGTTCATGCTCATATTCCACAACAGAAGCAAACATTTAAATTCACAGTCGGCTCATGCTCAAAAATTCCAACTGACTTAGATGGACTGTACAGGTGAAAGTGCAGCTAATATTCAACAATTTGTTACGCAGACTTGAATTAGTTGCTTTGTCTGAAAGCTTCAATTAAGGTAGGAATGGGCATCTGCAAATGTCGGACAAAGTGTGTGAACAGAGTGCACAGAGACTACCAGAGAGATATCTGACTAATTGTTTAACGAGCAATCCGGCTAATTACCCATGTAAAGAACACAGTGGCTCGGCATCTCATTAGCAAAGATCTGCTATGTCTTATTAGAGATCTATGGGTGGGGTCAGGAGGTAACAATGGCACATTCTTTGATGTGCTACCATGCTAACTGTGTTTCATCTTCAGTCATAGAGGTGGTGCTATCATTGTGTGTAATATCACAATTAATTCATGTGTTGAATGTGTGGCATCGGAACTAACTGGACTGATATGTGATAATTTGGGTCTAAACAAAAAACAAACAAAAATAACAAGCTTTACTTCAGTATCCATTCTACACATCTACACCTCGTGGTAAATGAAGTTTTAGGAAATTGCAGTAACTTCTTGAAAAAGCAGATGAACCAAAAGTTCAGATCTTGGTGAATTTCTTCTTCTTCAAAAAAGATGCAATTATCTGCATTGGAGAGGGACTCTCCGAGGACCAAGAGAAATATAATATCTACTACAACATCGACTGATACTTCACTTAATCTAAAAAGAAATGTGGGATGATGGAATCGTGGTGGTGGAAATAAATTGCAGAGGGGAGATCTCAAGGGTGAGTGAGAAAATGCGCTGTTTGTAACAACAGTAAATGTCAGCGGTCTCAGCTGTGGGCGAGACCACGCTAAAGTTTGCAGCGAGGGGGCTTCAGGCTCTGTGAAACCCAGAACCGCTCACCCTGAGAAACACTGAGAAAGTGTCAGGGACTCTGACACGGGAGGTTAGTCAAACAATGGGAGTTTTGCTTTTGACATCTCTGCGATAAATCTCAGAGAAAAACCCCAGGTAATGACTACTGCATAGAAATTAGTCGCATTATTTTATGCCTTCAGATATCTATAACCCAGTGTGCAGTTTCAATATTTGAAACTGAGAGAAAGCTAAATGATTAAATCAGCTGCTTAATGGAGATGGAGGTCAGCTGAGATTCAATATTATCTGACGTTGATTGAAAGATCAGTGGGATCGTGATCAAAGTCTAAGCCACATCATATTCAGCCCTCCCTGGACGAACTGTCAGAGCAATGTTATTGGAGAGGTATGATTGAAAATCTGTTGCCATGGAAATTGTCTTGAAGCTCACTATCTTCTTCAGCACTTTGGTTTTCAGTGCTGGGTGGGTGGGGGGACCAGGTGAATGCAAAAGATCAAAGAAAAGAGACAAAGTGAAGAGAGGAGCAAATTTGAACAAGATGAGAGGAAGTAGCTAGACTAGTTAAAATGTAGAAATGAACTGTCACCAGTCTAACCTGGAGTGTATAAAGAGGAACTCAATCACTTTCATTAATGGAACGAGACGTATTGTGTAAAGAAACAATTAATTACATTTCACACATCTTTGTCTGCGCCCACAGGAGAATACATCCTACACACTGAGCGAGCGCGTCACATGTTATCTATTTAATGAAGCGTAATGAAGATAGATTGGCTAATCTTGTCTAAGGGGAATTGATTTGAGTGTGTGTACAATCTCAGCGCATGTGTACATACACGTGCCCACGCTGCGTGCAGAGGCGTAATGTCTCTATGGTGAGTATGAAGCCTGCACGCATGAATTCAGGGGTGAACAGAGATTTCCTTGAAGGTTTTTCAGGGAGCACCGAGAGCGGGGACTGACTCAAAAGTGTGCACATTAGAAAAGCCCCATGAAACCTGGCATTACACTATATTATATCATCACATTTCTATGCTAATCTGGATAGTAGAGAGTGAGTGGGTGTCAGATAGGAAAGGAATACATTAAGTAAGGCAAGGTCATGCCGTGAATGTATTTTGAATACTTGCTTTACCTAAATGAAGCATTTTCTCCTGCAGTATACACAAGGATGACACTGATGTTATGGTTTACTTTGTGTGCTAGCACGCTCACATTTCTAAAAATTACCATTAAAGACTGAACACAGCTGAGGCTAACGGGAATTTGGTCATAAACCAGACAGGGGATCTAAAATGTAATCGTTCGCTGTGCATCACAAATGTCTATCATCAACCTGATCTTTCCACTGTTTACTGTTATATTGAAACATTTAGCATCAGAGCTAAGCTATGCATGGCTAGAAAGATCACTTGTACTGTATATTCACATATATCTGTCATGGTCCGGGTGTGTGCCAGTGTGTCTCCCTCCGAGCCGGCATCTCCACCCCTGGGAGGAGCCTCAGTGTTTTGCTGATCGCTCACACCTGTGGGTAATTTAGCCGGGGACTCATAAGGCCAGCGCACTCAACCTCTCTTCGCCAGATTCTCAGCTAACACCAGTCAGTGCAGGCCACCACCATGATTCCGCATGCACTTTGTGAATCACCTCGTCTCATTGTGTGTTTGTCTCATTGTGCGTCTTTTTCATAGCCACACCAAGCTGCCAAACACTAATCTCTGCCGAAGAGCTCCAACCCGGATACTGGACCACCTGACAGTCCCACAGGCTGCTCACCCGAACCACCTACCTGCCTCTCTGCCTCCACGCCAGGAGTTTTGGACCACACACCCGGACCACTCACCCCTCCACGTCATCTCTGACCACCCGCGGCAAGTACGCAGTACGAAGAAGGATTTTGAACAAACAGCGTATCCATATGTCTCCTTATCCATACCTGAACGTCTGTACTCTGTTTACAGTGACCCTGACCCTTTTCCTGGACCTAGTGTGACTCGCTCTCCAGCCCAATCCCCGGAACTGCTGTTCCCACTGACCAGGACCAGACTGTTACTTAGCCCAGGCGGCTTAAGACCCCTGTTGATTCAGTTGTGGCACTTCGTACTTGTTAAACTCACTTTCCTGTTTATGAATATTTTCTGAGTAATTAAACATCGTCTCTAAAACTACTTACGTGCTGTTCAGCGTCCTGCATTTGAGTCCTGTCACCTTTTTGAAGCGGCCTCGGCCGTGACAATATCACCCTTTTTGATGTTCAGAAGTTATTGTTATACTAATTCTTCTGCCTGTAATTGCTGAAAGTACTTATATCAACATTTGATAAATGCTGTATTATCTGACTAACCCAAGACAGGAGTTATAGCTAGCTATAGCTAATAATGCCATTAGCGTCACTGACAGCCAGTAAAAGTTACTTCACAGCCGAGAATGTTTCCAACCTATAGCAATATACTTGCTTCTTGATAACTCCC